CAACACAGATTGAGCTTGTAATTGTAGGGGGACAAAAATCTGCCACCCCATAGAAGAGGGCCTGAAAGCTAGATAGGTGGAGTTTTTTTTTCTTTTTCTTTTTGAGTAGTGCTTCTTTTTTCTTTATATATATAATGGTTTATTTTTACATCATTTTGTGCCTTTTTCCATCTCAGTTGTACTCCCCATGGGCTTCCCATCACCAAATCACCCATGTGCCATTACATTCATAGTCCAGTGCATTTCCCTCCCCCTGCTAATTTTGATCCCATTCCCCACTCCACACTCATAAAATGTCTCTGGTATATCGCTGTTCATTATTATTATTATTTTCTTGCCTGGTCTGTTATCCTGCTATGAGTGAAATCATCCGGTATTTTTCCTTTTTTTTTTTTTTCTGGCTCACTTCACTAAGCGTGATCTTTTCCAGCTTCATCCATGTTGCTGCAAAAGGCATGTGTTTATTTTTTTTGGTTGCTGAGTAATATTCCATTGTGTATATGTACCACATCTTTTTAATCCAGTCATCCATTTTTGGGCATTTGGGCTGTTTCCACGTCTTTCCAATTGTAAATAAAGCAGCAATAAACACGGGGGTGCAGGTATCTTTTTCAATCAGTGTTTTTGTGTCTTTTGGGTAGATACCTAGGAATGGGATTGCTGGGTTATAGGGAAGCTCCACGTTTAGCAGTTTGAAAAACCTCCAAACAGTTTTCCATAGTGGTTGTATCAGCTTGCATTCCCACCAGCAGTGCAGGAGAGTTCCTTTTTTCTCCACATCCTTGCCAACATTTGTTGTTGCTAGTTGTTTGAAGATGTGCCATTCTCACTGGAGTGAGGTGGTATCTCATTGTGGTTTTAATTTGCATGGTAGAGATGCTTTTAAAAGATAATTACATGTAAACTATTTTTGCAAAATAACAGTTAGCAAGATTTACTGAAGATTCTAGTAAAGGAAGGGAGTAAAATGCAGAATAAACTTCAAAAACACTTGTTCTCCTTTCTTTGTTCCTCCTTTCTTCTTTCTTTTCCCTTTCCTCCTTTCTTTCCAAAGTGTTTGAGTACGACTATGTGCCAAGCATGGGTATGGAGAAACTGATATTTTCACTTACAGTTTAATGAAAGAGACAAATGTTAACCAAATGATCATACAAATAAATATCACCATAAATTAATAGTCTGAAGAAAAAGCAGAGATGTCTAGACAAAAAGGAGTCTGAAGAGTTTTTGAGTAAATGTGAGTAGATCTGAATGCTGAAAGATTCATGGACATTCAGAGATAGAAGAAGAACATCCTATATTTAATGAATAGCTAGTGAGAAGGCTCTGAGGCAGGAAGGGTCTGGTTCTGTTTTGAGCACAGAAAGTAGAAAGACACATGAACAGAGGAGAGAGCAGTTATCACCATAATAGGCCACAGTATGGTTTAAATAGGAATGTAACATGTGGACAGAGTGCAAATATTTCAAAGAAAAGGCAAGACAGAGCTAGGGAAAGTAACTGCTAGGAAAAGAAATACAGGCTTTATAATTGCATAAGTCATAGATTTAAAAAGAAATTAAAAGAAGCAACACCCACACAAAACTTGTATACAAATGTTGAGAGCAGCATTAATCATAATAGTCAAAAGTGAAAACAAATTCTATTAATTCAGAAATACCTAAATAAAATATCCAAACAATGGAATCATTTGGGTAAAAAAGAAAGGAAGCTCTGACACATACAAAAACATTTATAACCCTTGAAAACATTATGCTAGTGAGTGAATACATAAAAGATGACCTGATATGAAATGTCCAAATCGCACAGTTAATAGAGACATAGATTTGGGGCAGCTTGGCAGGGTATAGGGTGTAGCATTAACTGCTAATGATTATGGGGTTTCTTTTGGGGTGGACAAATCGGTTTTAAAGTTAGATTTTGATGATGATTGCCCAACTCTGTAAATATAATAAAAAAGCACCAAATTGTATACATATTGTATGGTATTTGAATTATATAAAAGTAAATGTTAAAAATGAAAGTTACTTTATTATTATTTTAATGAAAAAAGAATCCAGGGTCTAGAAAAGTATAGCAATCCTGATTTTTTTCTCACTTTACATTTTTTGTACTCTACTTGTAGCAAACACAAGAGACCACCATCATTGTCTAACTAGAGTGAGTTGGGAGGATTTATTGCTCTTCTGTATGTTCAGGATCATAGCGTTGAGCCCACTGCTGATCTAAATTAGGGGCTGTTTCAGTAAATGACTATGAGGGCTGCAGAAGGCACTAAAAAGTCCTTTAATTCTTTCAGCATTTTAAACAAATGAATATCTTTCCTTTAAAATATTTTTCCTTTAAAAAAAAGCCTATGAATTTTTATTTTCATTAAAATTAAGATGTTAACTTTAAGATATTGCCTCAGATCTTTTCAATCTGTACCTTGCATCTATTTCTTAAATTTTGATTAGGAACATGAATAGTTATTTATTAAATACTCCACAGATTCAAAATAGCTACAGAGAAAGGGATGATGAGATTGAACAGGTGGCAATACTCTGTCTTCACATACTGAGAAGGCCAAGATTCCTTAGCATTCCTAGCATCTATATTAATGTTTCATAGCTCCTTAGCTAGTGTGTGTGTGTGCATGTGTGTGTGTGCATGCGTGTGTGATTTCATTTGGATTGTACTGCTGTCAGGTTTTTATAAAAGTTTATTTCCTTTTTCCAGTCTCAGTTTTCCTGGTGTGTGCATGCCAAGGTGAATCTCAGGCTTAATTACTTTGAGTGCAGGCTTAAGTCGCCTAGTTTGATATATGAGGAAGCTGAGACACAGAATGACAAGGTAACTTGATTTGGTGGCTTCACCAGGGAATGAGAAGTCTTCTAGTTGGAACTTAAGTTTCTTGATTTTAGTGAAATATATATACTCTTTATTTTCCAGTTTCCAGCTTTTACCATTTCAAACCCTGTACTTAGGAATAATTATCTGCATTGAGAATCACTTTATGCTGCTTTTTTTTAGAACTGATTTTAAGAATAGACAGGAGAAGTGGTTATCCTCAGTTATCTGAATGGTGTAAATGAAAAGAAAATGAAATCAAAGGCAACTTTCTAGGTCATTTGTTTTCCTAAGTAACAACTCCCTGTCCCTTTTTATTTCTCCTATTGTAATTAAAGCAGTAACTATAGATGTTTTAAACAAAAGGCAGCAAAAATCACCAGATTTTTCTGACCTAAAGGATTTTTACAGGAGGAAATGTCAAGGTCATTGAAAATGACCTTGGTCTCAGGGTTCTCTCACAGAAATCATCAGTCTCCTAATCTCCTTGAAATCATAAGTCTCCTAATCTCCCTGCTTGCTCTGTGGCCTCCTTAAGATCCTGTCTTTGAGGGGAAGAGCTTAAAAAAAGAAAGAAATCATAGCTGTTTCTCCCCTATCTAAAAATCTCCTAAGCTTTTTGCACTGCACGTAGAATAATCACTTTCTTGATTTACAAAGCCCTCAACATCTGGCCCACGTTTGTTTACTTCTCTAATTATGTTTCCTCTTACTTTCTGATTTCCCTCCTCACACTCAATTTAGGACCCTCTTTATAGCTGTTTCCTTTGCCAGGAATGCTCTTCCCTCAGATATCAGCATGAGGCATGACTGTTATGCAAACTGATGCTTAAGTGTATCCTCCTCAAGAGTCCCCATTTTCAATATTCTAGTAGGTATCCAATCACAATCACCACCTCATCATTTATTGTATTTTCTCGGCGTAGAGCTTAACCAACAGATACATTTTTTCTTTCTGTTCACTCCCTGTCCCTCCAATTCTTCCTTCCTCTGCCTCCCTTCAGTTCCCTAACACCTGGAATTGTTTTCAACGATGCACAATGGACAACCTGGAGTAATGCCTAACATGTAGGCGTTCAACAAATATTTCTTGAATGAGAGAAATGAATATATGAATATGCCCTTTTCCCCCTGCCCCCTTTTCCCAAACAGGGCAAAATTTATAATGTAGAGACACTTAAAAAACATCTTTCTCGTCTCTCTGGTATTTCCACCCTTGAGGAAAAGATGTCCTTAAGGACGTTGTGTAATTTGACTAGAATGGCGCTTGTGCTTGTAGGTATAAATAATAACATATTTATTTTTCACCTAGGGCTTGGTTCTTCTGTGATCAAGGTTTTTACTTCCGATTTCCATACAGCGTACATCTGTATGGTTGACCAGCTGTATTATGGTTGAGCACTAGGGCCCGGAGATCCCTTGGTGTTAATTGTTAAGGTTGGGAAAAGGCCGAGGGACTAGAGAGCAGCGAGTGGTCCTCCCAAGAGATGTTGGGGCGAAGGGGCGGAGCCACCCCGAAAGGATGGGCGTTACTGGGGCTGTCAGATCTGGTGGGGCTGCCGTTCTGGGAAGGGCCCCAGAATAAGGAGGCAAAGACAGACATTGGCGAAGCAGCAGCCCACTTTCTCCAGGCGGTAAGACCCAGGGGTCGAAGGACAGGAGACAGCATTGGAGACCAAATCTGAAGCGCAAAGCAGAGCTTGGGTATTTTGCCAGAGGAACGGGTTAAACGGTTTCCAAGGTAACGGACCAGGAAGCGCGCAAGACGTCAGCCGCAGGTTCGTAGGTCAACTTCAGTTTAAAGCTCCCACGGCCGTACAGATTCTGGCCAATGGAAAAGTCGCTTCGATGTCACGTGGCCTCCAGGCCCGTTCCGCTGGCGGCCCTAGAGCACGTGGGAAGGTTTTTCCTGTTTCTTCTCTACCATTTTTAAAAGCCCACCCACTTTTGCGCGGGTTTGGTCACGGAGCTCTTCTCGCGAGAGGCTTGGCATTCTCTCGCGAGAGTGAGTGGGAGGCGTGGGG